ATGGACTCAAAATGCTGAGGAGAAAAGAGAAGCACGAAATCTGGGAGGACCAGGGATGGTCACAGTGCCTCCACATTAACAAATGACTAACTGATGCCTCACCTCCCCACACCCCATTCTCCAAGATAAAGGGTGTTAGTAAAACTTGCATCTGAAGAACAAAAAAAATAAGCTTCTCTGTGCAAGCTTTGAGATAACGAAGGTTTACCAGACGCGATCCTGTCACAGCATAAAACCACGCAGCACATTATGAGGGTCTCACTCCAACTCACCAAAAGGGAGTCTACCTGCTACCTTATCCCCTATTGTGATGCGCCCTCCTCAGGACGTCGCTGCGTTAGCCCAGGGATGATAGAAAAGGGGCGGGTCACGGGTTTACTCTGCCCAGGGAAGGAGGGATTAGGGTATCACCTTCACTCTTGGGGAAAGGCCTCGAGACTCCCAACCCAAAAACAGCACCCCCGAACCCAAGTCCCATCCCTGCCTCTCCGACCTGGATGCCAGCAGCCGGGGCCCAGAACCCCACCCACGGTCCCCTAGCAGGGTCCGAGATGCCCAGACCACCGGCACAGCAGCCCAGCTCTCAAGCCCGGATTCGGCCTCCTCCCCTTTCCTCCTTGGCCCCCTCCAAGCCCAGCCTCCGCCGCTGCCCCCACCGAGTTCCCCAGCTACGTCCAATCACCCTCGAACCTGTAGTCCCCCTTCAGCGTCCACTGAGGGCCTAGGAGAAGGCCGGGGCTAGCGACACCTCCGCTTCCTCCACCACTGGATCCTTCCGTAGGCGTCTCGGGAGACGGCTTTTCAGACCGCCGCGGCTACCAGAGCCGCCCGGCAAGTTGCAGGCCGGCTCCTAAGCCTCTTCTCGCGAGAGCCCGCAGTCCGAAGAGGCGAGGCTAGCTGCGCTCTCGCGAGAATTGTGGCTCACCGCCCAGGGGTGGGCGGGGCGCTGAAGGCGAGGGCAGTTGTGGGAGCTGCAGCCTTCGGTGGGCGTTCAGCCTGGGGGCTGGCGCCGCACAGTGGAAGGCGTGCGTGGGTCCTCATAGACTTCAGCTGGCGATCCACAGCGAGTCCCGAGCCTGAGTGGCTGCGACCAGAGTTATACCCCCCATACCTATGAATCCCACGTCTTTTTTCTTCGATTTCCTATCACCGTTAGAAAAAAGCGGACAGCGTCTTCCAGCCCCGAGTTGAAGAAAGACCTCTGGGACCCTGAGTTTGCTCAGGGAAAGCGTTTCCCTCAACTGGGCAAACCCCGAAATCGCTCTTAGCCCCTCCGCTGGCGGGTATTAAACGACCGGAGTTCCTGAAAGGCGGTCGTTGGGAGGGACACCGTCTATTAGTAACCTCCACAAGCTGTTTGTTTTCAAACGCTGGGTTGGCGGGAACTGGCGTGCCGGCTGAAACTCATGAAGTTGGGCCGCCTGTTGAACGTCGAGCGTAACCTGGATGGGGTATTGCTCCCTGTGGGCAGGAAGTCGCCAAGTAATAGTTTCATTCAACTTGACTGAGCCTACCTGTGCCACATGCTGGACTATACAAACCGGAAGAAATACAAGACATGGTCTCCGCCCTCGAAGTTCACACGGCATGGGCGGATGGGGTGGGGTGGGGGGCGAGACCCACCCCAAAACATAATCCCGTATACTGTGATAAAAGCCGAGTTGCTTGCAGTGAGCTGTGGGAACAGAAAGGAATAACCGGCTCTGCCTGTCAGGTTGAGGAAGCCTCCACCAGAGAGTGACATTTGAGCTGAATCTTGAAGGATGAGCAAGAGTTCCCCAGTTTTTAGAAGAGTGGGAGGGGCTTTGCAAGCAGAGGAAGCAAAGAGGAAGAGGACCTGTTTTGAGTAATTTGGGACCTGGTTTGAGTAATTTCTTATGAAAGCAGAGTTTGCGGAAAGAACTTTGTTGAACAACTTTTAATCCTTGTTTAGTTCGGGAGTGAAAAAACTCCCAGGCTCCCACGTGTGATAACCAAAATGTTTTCCAAACCAATGTTTATGCTAAGGAGATGTCCAGCACGCACAATATAGGACAGTAAACATCCTCTTCCTCATCTAAGTGTCCTTAGATATCAGAGACCTAAAGGGAAGAGAGGTTATAGTCATAGTACACCAAGTTATTATTGCCAACATTCTGCTAAATTGGAAATTGCCAAAAATCTTTGAAGATTTCTAAGTAAGAGCAATCTAAACAGGACTTTTGTATTACAGGTAATCTCATGGAGAAATATTAAAAAAAAAGAAATTCGCAGGCAAAACAACAAAAATTTCACCAATCTTATCAAATTTTTCTTCTATAAGCCAAGATCAAGGGAGGTAATTCCATAGTCCAAGTTAGTTAAGGAGGTCTGTCAAATAGGAATTATTTCCCTATCAGCGGTTCTCAACCTGTGGGTCGCAACCCCTTTGGGGGTCAAACGACCCTTTCACAGGGGTCCCCGGGTACTCATATGTGGGCGTATCTGCATGTGGGCCTGGAGACGAATAGAGGAGTAGTGTCTCGGTTCCTAAGAGCATCGAAAATATGTGTTTTCCAATGGTCTTAGGCGACCCCTGTGAAAGGTTGAGAACCGCTGCTTTAGTGTGTTTCCTGGGGGCCACCTCCATGAACTGCTGCTTCAAGATGGAACCAAGAACTTATTTCTGTAGAGTTCTGCAGAGCCTGGTTGAATATTCTCAGGCTCAGTCCCTGAGGATTTAGGAAGAAAGGTGTATGGTCCACATGGGGAGAATTATAAGGCTGGAGACATTTAGAGGGACACAGTGTCTAAGGATTAAGTCAAAAGATGGAGGGAAAGTCAAGGAAGGTTGACTTGTGGGCCCCCATCTGAGACTGACCTTTAATAGGCTAAAAGTTGATTCAAAGGGCACAATAAAGCGATTTTTCACTCTCTAAAAATGAAATAATAAACCTATGCTTACATAGGAACTTAAGAAATGATTTTTTAAATGTTATCTACAAAACTATGGATAAATAAAGAATTGTTGGATAGATGGTATTTGGCACACTGTCCATATGAAAAAAAATAATAGTCAAGTTCAAACATAACATTTTGTCATACACGAAATTAGGTTCCAGAAGAATATATGCCTAAAAGTGAAAGGTAAAACTCTAAAGCAGATGTAAGAGGTAACTTTGTGGCCTAGGTTTGGGGAAAGACTTCTTTAATAAGACTCCCAAAATACAAACAATACGATGAAAAATTGATGTATCTGCATCCATCAAAATTAAGCAAAGAGTCAGTAAATACACTGGGAGAAAATATTTGTGACATTTAAAACCAACGAGGAATCTGTGTTAGAATATGCAAAGAATTCAAAATGAACAGGGCCAGAAAACCAGAGTTTACTACTCTGTCTTCCTCATTAGAGCATGAACTCTTTGAGGCCAGGGATGGGACCTTGTCTAGCTCTCAGTGCCACAAGACACATTTTAAACGCACATGTGGTGACTGTTTTGGGGTGCATAGAATATAGAACATGTCCATCATCTCAGAAAATGCTATTGGACAGCATTGATTTAAATATGTCCGGGTTCTGTATTTTACATTCCTGAGGTATCCTGTACTTTTCTTTCATAGCGCTTATCAAAGTTAATAATGAATTACTGTCTGTCTTCCCTACTAAACTGTAGGCCCCGGGGAAGACAGGAGCTATGTCCATTTTGCTTACCAGTATATGCCCAGTGCCTAATACAGTACATGACAAATAATGGACACTAGGTAGATATTTACCAAATGAGGAATGAAGTTACATTCTAAAAAAATACATAAATTCTGTTCCTTGCAATATGGAGCTCAGACTAGAAATATGATCAGTGGGTTTGTGTATAGACAAATGCTTTTACATTCAAGTTTCAGACCACTTTCCTTGCTGATCATTTCATTCCCTTTCCTGCAATGAAGAGGATAGTAGTATTTAGCTGCTGTAAAATTTGGCCACCTAGTCTTTTGGTAATATTAAAAGGACGGAATTCAAAATATGAAATACATGATTAAAAAAAAACATTTTGAGGGCTGGCCGAGTGGCTCAGCTGGTTAAGAGCTCGCTTGGGAACACCAGCTCTGAGCAGCAGGGCTGTGGTTCAGATCCCACATTGAGGGCCAGTGATGCTTGCCCTCTACAGCTAAGATGGTGAACAACAGCTCGACCTGGAGCTGGGCTGCTGTGAGTTGCCGGCATCAGCGTAGGCTGCAGCGGGGCTGCAGTGGGCTGTCGTGAGCTACTTGAGTGGCTGGCAGCCGGCGTGAGCGGCTGGTAGCTGGTGTGAGTTACCAGGAGCCGCTGTGAGCAGCCAACCAATGACGGTGACCAATTGCCTCACCTGGGAAGAGCGCAATGATAATACCAACATGGGCCAGTGAAGCGACATCCTCTACAACTAGACTGAAGAACAAAACAGCAATTTGTCTACCTGCCTGTTCCCCTTCCCCAATTCCCCAACGCTATTACCCTCCCCGCAATTCCCCAATAAAAAAATCTTTAAAAAAAAACCATTTTGATGATGGATGTTAGCTGAGCCTATTGTGATAATTTCACAATATATCAAACCATCACGCTGTATGCCTTAAACTTACACAGTGATGCATGTCAGTTATTTCTCAACAAAACTGGGAAAAAAAGGTTTTGCATTGTTCTTCCTAGTCACGATCAATTTAAACATACTAGTGTTACTCATAACCCAAAAGACAGTCTTATAACAAGTGAGAAACACTTAATTTCATTTATTTAGAATAATGATCATTAAATTTTTATTTTGCATTGTAAGATGGGAGAGAGGTCAAAGAATGCCATTTTATTCTTTTATAAATTATGCAATAACATAATTTAAGTAGAATAAACAATAGAAACAGAATAATTGAAACAGCTCCTAACTGAATAAAAGTAGAATCAAAATAATCAATTAAAATTATAGCTATCATGGCTAGCAATGAATTTTGGTAATATTAGAAACATTGGCACTTGGTAATCTTAATAGAACTTGAAAACATTAGCAGCATGTAATATCACTGCCCTATGCTGTCTAGGGCAGTGCTCTGATAGGTCTGTTTTCATTGGGATTTCGCTTTAATTAATACATCCACGTCAGCTTTGTCTGCTTCTCCAAGACTTTTTTGATGGCTCTCAACTGGAGCATTGTCCTCCTTTTTTCGAGGTCTCGGGGAGCCACCATCTCTGTGAGCTAGAGAAGTTCCGAGGGCAACAAAATTATGCACATCCTGCAGCTTCTTCCGCAGCCATTCCACCCTTTCCATCGAGTTCAGATGTTTACCCAGGTTATGCATCAGCTGTATTTCACTCACAGATCTCTTCCTGTAGGAAACAGAAACAGAGAGGACTACTCCATGAGCTCCCTTCTTCCAATCATAAAGCCAGCCTGAAACGTCCAATTTCCATGCCCTCCCCGTGCAGAACAGGACTCAGTACTCACTTAATAGGTTTCCCATCTGATTTGGCAAACAAACAGATGGCAAACATGACGATCATTACTTTAGCCATGTCTTTTGCAGACATCATCTTCACTAAAAAGGAAAAGCAAAATGCAGGTATTTTAAAATAGTTTTACTATTCCAAACTATACAATTAAATTTAGTAGTTTACATTTATAACTATACCACTATGCACAGTAGCTAACTGGATTGGTTTTCATGGGAGACTTTTGGAATCACCCCCTTTATTTTACAGATATATTAGTATATATTATACATACACATGCTTTGACTTAGAAATTAGATTAGTTTTACTTAGGTATCTTTTTGCGAGTTCCTGTGCAAGTTTTAATATGTGAATTTTAAGCCATATGAGGAAGGAAAAGCTTACTTTTTATAATTTCCTCCCACATTTTATGTTAGTTATGACTAAATGCTTATAATTTGCTTGAAAGTGGCTAATTCTCTTAATTAGGTAATTCATTAACACTGTTTATTTACTTAGCAAATTTCTTTTTCATTAGGCACTTCATTTCACTGCAATAATAACCATAAATACCAAATTAATCAGTTCTGATTTAGAGATTTTTGCTGAATTAATGCACACTTCTCCCACCATTAAAAAGAGTATGTCAAAGTTTTTAAAAATCACCTAATTAATTACTTGTTATATGGATTTAGAGCTTTAGCTTCATATTAAATGCTTGTCTATATTATTTCTTCAGCTTATTAACAATCTTGTTTGAGTATAAATTTTAGCACTTTCCTCCTTTGCTCATAAAGCTTTTCATCTCAAATAGTAAAGTCTTATCTTACTCTGTATTTCAATAATTGCAAAGCCTAATAGTAAAGTCTTATCTTACTCTGTATTTCAATACTTGCAAAGTCTATTATTATAGAAGTGCTTTTCCTTCATGCTTAATATTCTCCATTTTCACAAACATATAGAGTGGCTATGTACTCATATTTTCAAGGAAAACAGCATACTTTAGAAGTATAATAAGAAACATTATAATCTACTATATTTATGTTCACTGTGAAATATAAAGTCATTGATGGGGCAACAAATGCATATTCTCCAATTTTGGTTTATGTTTAAAAAACAAGGCGCTGTAGCTAGAGAAGAGGGGCATTGGTGTCTAACTCCAGGTTTGTCATATTCACCTAATGACTTCAGACATCTGTACTTTGCTTCTTTGCTCTTAATAGAGTCAAACTTCTTACAAGAAATGTCATGAAAAAGGTAAAAATCAGTTGTAAAACACCCTTAAAATTCATGTACAGTTTTCAGAATAGAAAATTAGAAAAGACTTTATGTAAAGGGACTGAACATTCAGCAGTAAAACTGAGTTTCTCCAAGTATAGTAGTATACAGATAGAGCTGTTTAGGAGTCATGAAACAATCTAGATAAGGGTATTCTGAAGGAGAAATTGAATTTTAGCTCAACTTAATAAATTCACATTGATTAAATCAATTATTCATTCCTCTTTAGTCTGTTTTATTTTAAAATTTCAATAAGATGCCCTTAAAGCCTATCATGCCAAATTTTAATTATTTTTGTGTAATTTCAGATGAGTGTAGAAAAAGCAAGGCATCTCAAAAAACTCTAATCACAAAAATAAATGATTTAAGAGTATTTTAGTAGCAGAAATTTATTTTTTATTATGACACTTTATATTAAACATAATTCAAACCCTCCCTTAACATTTTACCTTGAACAAACAGCATGGTATTTGTAGAAAATGATATACATTAAATAATAGCTTGATCATTAAGAAAAATTCTCATGAAATTTAAAAGAGAAAAATAAAAATTACTCACCACACAATGTCTTAGGACAAGGTCTTTCAGGTGTATTAGCAGCTGATGCTTTCTGAAAGTTGAGTAAACTTGAGAAAGCTGATGAATTGGACTGTAGACCCTTAAATGTGACTTTTATATATAGGTCTTCCACTCACCAAGAGAAGTTTTTTTTATTGTCACAGATAACATCACTCCCAATTCCCTGGATCATAACTAGAAGATCAGAGCAACAGACACCCCCATTGGGCGGAGCCCACTCCTCTTAAGTTTTAGATAACTGAATATTAAAAAGAAAATAGTGTGGGGCGAGGAAAAAGATTTATGCAAACATTTCTAACAAATATTAAATTGTAATTCTGACTGGATTAATGAATTTATATTATAAAAAACTGATTTCAAACATTTATAGTAAAGTCATCCTTTTATTTGAAAGTAAACTCTGAAAATAAGTATATTTGTTATAATCATATTACTGATAGAATGATGAGAATTATAATAAATCATATTATGTTATTCTTACTTTACAAGTCATTTCCAACTAAGTCATATCATTCCTGGTCATCTTTGAAAAACATAGTAGATACAGTGCTTTTCTTAAATGAGATATTTTCTTAAATATTTTCTTAAAAATAAGTATTTTCTTAAAAATATTTTGAGAAAATGCTCTTAGTATATAATGAATTTTAAAGGCTTCAAAAGTGATATTACTTAAAAACTTATTTAACTTACATTTTATTCATTCATTTTAATTTGCAATAAAAACATTTGATAAGCGCTAACTATATGCTAGACTTTACATATTTATCCTACAGCAGCCCTTTCAATAAATACTATCATTAGTCCCATTTTCATATGAGGAAACTGAGGTTTGGAAAGTGGAGAAAATGAAATTCAACAAAGGTTTTTATGACTCCAGAGCCATTTTGATTTTTACAACCTCAGTTTTCCCCCTAGAAATGTAGCCCTTCTTTGAACTACAGCCTTTAATTTGCCTAGCCTCTCATGGCCTCTTTGCCCAGGGGTTGGGTCTTGATTCTCGTGTTCCCCAGCTGATGATTGAGGACCTGCTCCAAAACCCAGTGGAGGCATAGTGCTGCCACCTGTCTGATTTCAAATATGGCTACTCCCTGGTCCCCATCAATCAGGTCAAACCCCTTGAATACCCTTGGTATATCAAGGGTTCATTTAGGCAGCTTGTCTTCCAATTAAAGTGCCAGAATTGGATCAGTTCTCTGCTCTGGTCCTATCTAGGCTTCATGTTATCTCTTTCCTGCTAACCTTCATCAAGGTTTGACTCCAAATCACATAAGAGCCAGTTTGAACAGTACCTGTATGGAGTCTAGAATAAGAGATATGTGTTAGTCCTGCTCTGGGAAATTCTCTACACTGGGCAAATATCACTTGGAGTGTATGTCCAAGCTCCATTTTAGAAGTATTAGGGACAAACTGCAACACGTCTGAAGTATATGAACCAGGTTGTTTAAAATGTTGGAAAACATGACATAGAAGAAGTAGTTGAATGAAAGAGGAAAACTCTGGAGAAGAAAAGGGTTGGGATGACTATAGAGCTGTTTTTAATTCTTTATAGGGCTACCATAAGGAAGAAGGAATATTCTCTGTGGTTTAAGAAGGAAGGACAATAAATTGGTAACTACAATATGGCCTCAGGGATAGACAAGACATCTGAGGAATATAATCAATAATATTGTAAATATTTTTTGGGGGGCCAGATGGACTCATGTCTTGTTAGGGAGACCACTTCATAGACGGTGTAGAGGCCTGACCGCCACACTGTATATCTGAAGCTGATGTAGAATAATATTGTATGTCAACTATAATTTTATGTACATATAGTCACGAGATGTGGAAGTATAGTGTGGGAACGGAGTCAATAAAATTGTAATAGATATATATGATATCAGAGGGGCAGTGGATGGGGGGAGGGAAGTTGTCACTTTGTGAGGGGTGAAAAGGATAACTATTGCATTGTTTTGTACACCTGAAACTAATAAATAAATTTAAAAAAAGAAAGGACAGACTTCAGTTGTTAAAGACTACAAGGAGGCAGATTTGGGATCAACTTGGATATAATTTTTTAAATAAGGAATCAATTACCTTATAAGTAGTGAGTTCCCCATGACTAGAAGTGTTCAAGTAGAAGCTAGATGAGCATTTATCAGGGATATTATAGAGATTCCTACATAGCAGAGGATTGAACTAGATAACCCAGAGTTCCCTTTCAACTGTAAAAATCTATTGTTTTGATCTTTTTAAAGATCTCTTCTGATGCAGTCTATACATAAAATTTGTGTATCACTTTTTTTTGTTATACTTACTCTGTTGAGATGTTGAGAGAAAGGAGAATTGGAAATGGAAATGGTTTTATAAACACACTTTTTCATTGTTATTATAAAGCCATGTTTAACATTTTAATTTGTAGATTTTCTCCACTTCTTTGGGTAAGTTTGACATAACTGACAGCCTTCTAGGAGTGATGCAATTAGTGAGTTCACTGTCTTCCTCCTATTTCAAGTATTTAAGAATAAATTGTCATGTTGAAGACAACCACAATATTAAACAAGTTTTACAGAAAAATAAAGCAAACAATTGAGATAATATGCATTCTTTCTAAAAATACATTGAGTATCTACTATCTCTCAGGGGCTGTACTGATTACTAGATGATTAAGACATGATCTCTGCCCACAGATTTAACACTATCACAATATAATATGATAGTTGTTATAACAAAGATATGAACAAAGGCTTATAAAAGCACAGGTGAGTAAGTGACTAAACTTCCCTAGAGTTGTTGGAAGCTATTTCACTGAGAAACTGAAATGTTCTCAAGGATGATGATGAGTTTTCCATCAGAGAAGGTGAGAAACAACAGAGGAAACAGAGCATGTGCAAAGGCATGGAGGCCATGAAGATTGAATATGTGCTAGTAGAAGGAGAGGGGAAGTGGTGACGACCCTAAAGAAGTGGGTACAATTGTGGACTACTTAGTGTGTATGTAAGAGTTTTATCTCGTAGTCCTCTCTAAACCCATATGTGCATTAGTAATTTCTGTGTCCTTCAGATTTTTTAGAGGACTACTTGACCTTCTCACAAAGAAGAGACACAGCTGCCAAGACTGGGCACATGGTTTATCTGAGCCATCAGGCTATTAGATAGGAGGAAAGCATTTAAGGAATAAGGGGGCTAGGGGATATGTGGGCACAAGAGGCTGATGTCACTGACAGAGAGAAGAGCTGAGCACAGCTTTTTGCTTTGAAAAGCTCAGCTTTTCTTAGTACTCTCAAGTTCCCTGTAGCCAGGATCAGACAACCTACTATATTCCTCACATTTTGGAAGGATAAAGGGCCATGTGCTATTTCCTCTTGCATTATGGGAAGTTTAATTTGAGACTGAAACTTTTTCCTTCTGTTTGCTCAGTAAGAATTAGTATGGCTGTGGGAACTTAGCACCAAGAAGAAACTTCCAGGACTGGGAAATACAGCTACAACTCTCCTAATCCCATGTTTTGTCAACAGAGTGAATGGTTTCTATTTTAACAGTTGATTTACTCTTTTGCTTTAAACTCCTCTGTGGAATATTGAGTCACTGAATTCTTCTTGATCTGTCAGAGAAAACTTTTCTCCCTCCCTCTCACCAGCCCCTGGACTTGTCTGTAGTTAGAGACAATGAGCAAAATGTTTAAAAGGACAACAAATAATAACTGTTTAACTTTTTGAGTGTTTTGTAATATGTAGTTCCTTACTTTTCTTTCTTCATACCTTTTATTGATGGAGACTGTAAGCGTGGTTACCTACTAGTGGCATTTAATAAGTCATTGATCTCTTTACATTCATGAGCTGTTACAAATCCTGGGATGCATGACCTGAGTAGCCCGTCGAAGATGAAATATGCAGCTACGCTCACAAACAAAATATTACTTGTTGCTTTTTGTCCATTCCATCAGGAAATGTCCATCCTTGCGTGTGTTTGCAGCCTTCTGCATGTTTACGAGGAATGGAGGAGTGTTAAGATGACGTGCACTGTCTTCACAGTCAGCAGGACACATCTCTATAGGTGGGGGGAGGGTTGGGGGGGTGAGGGTAAAGGCCTGGAATGAGACAATCTTTCTAAATACAGCAAAGAATGTCTGCCTCGTAAGAGTAAACCAGAATGTCATTTAGGGAAACCTTTGGATCTTTATTTGATTGAAAAGATTTCTAGTTGTGCAGATGTCTCTCTAACACTGTGACATACGTAGGTAAAAAATAAAACATGTCCTTGAGTGTTCCTCATTCAGATGCTCCCTGAGATTTAATGTACTTTCATCCTCTGTTTCTTAAAGAAATAGAGGAGGAAACTAGGCTTAATTGAGAGCTTTTCTTTTTTCTGTTTTTAGCCATAAGGAACATGGACAGCCACAGCAATTGAATCGAAAAGTGAAGTCTCACATTTTTGGTGAACTTTTCCAGTGAACTGACCAGACCAGTGATGTCACTCTTAATTCTAAATATTATTTTTGTATTTGTCCCATAAATGTACTCATAGTTTTCAGACCAAATGTCCCAATTTGGAGTTCAGATAATAATATGTTCCCCTCAGTTAATATGGCACTTCCTTTGGATTACACAGATTCTTAGTTCTGCTTTACAATCTCTTTATTGTTGGTAGAATATCATATATAATTTAGGATAGCAGGAAAAAATTCCAATGTCTTTCACATCCCTTCCTAATGTTCTGGAACCTATAGGCTATGTACCCTGAGTCTATCCTGTATGCTTTTGAAATAGTGTGGGAAAAAAGCCAGACACGGGGTATTGGTTTCCTATTAGTGAAGCTCTGAGTCAAATGATCTGGGTTCCCAGACTCCTAGTTTAGCAATGCTGACACTGCAATCTAAATTACGGTTTTGATCCAATACAATAAAAATCTGTGGAGCATCTAAAGTCAGTCAAGAAACAGTAGCCTCTTCCCTGATCACAATCTTCTCCCTAAAATTTGTTTTCATGTGATTTTTTTTAAGTTAGAGTATGTTAATCTTTCAGATCTCAAATTGCACATCTCAAAGTAGAATACTGCCTTCCCTCCTTTGAGTTATGAGCTTTCAGATATGAGCTATTATACAGGAAAATATTTTGCATATAATTGGCATTAAAAAAATCATGTTGAATCTCAACCTGGAAGGAAAGTGTCCCTTGCCCATCCCCTCAAATGGGTCCACCTCACTCCA